CTGCTTTCCTGCTTCTCCCCTCTTCATTTAAGTGATCCAACGTATGCCTGTAAGGCTGAGAAACATTAGAAGACCATCTGGTATAAGATATTTTTTCCCGTGTTAGTGCTGCCTTCTGTCTTAAGAGCCTCTGCTCTCCTCCTCTCTGTGCCCGTCATCAATTTAAAAGGTCAATCTCAGAACCAGTTCCCACTAGAAATGAGCTGTAAAATGCTTTTATTAGTTTTGATGACAAGATAAGAGATCAATTTTTCTCACGGCCTCCGGCTGATGAGCTTTTAAAGTGGCTCTGCTGCTTACCTGGGCCCATAATTATAAAACCATCTGCCCGGTTCCCAAAAATGAAATGAGTTTGATCTCTTTTTCTATCTCCCTCCCCCGGTTCATTTCTCCTTCATTAGTTGTGATTCTGCCTCCGTATGTCTACATACTTTACAGAAAATGTCAGGAAGACAGCGGCTCCCAAGAACACTGTAGCTGTTGGTGAATAGCAGCTGGATGATGTCCATGTTCCAAGTTACTCTTACAGGGATTAAGTTGAATTTATGTTTTCAAAACATACACATCTGGGTGCTGTTGATTATAGTGCACAAGGTTATCCAACTATGGGATGAATTGTTTTTGGAAGGAAGTCAGTAACTACACCTGTAGCTGTTGATGACAGTTTGGAAGCAAACCATGTTAAATATTTTAGTAAAGCTGCATCACATCAGTTTGTTGGCTATGGTTTAGGAAGCAGCTAAATTGCTATAATTAACAGTTAAATGTGTGAGTTCTGTTTGTATTAGACTTCAATGTAGCAAAGAACGTTTTAAAACTATTTCAGCTGTGATTTACAAGCGGTTATTTTTTTTCAAAAACTAGTCTTGGACAAGCTGCTCCCGAGATAAAAGCTTCAGCGCTGAGATATATTTAGAACATTGTGTTTTGGCACTCTTTGAATATGTGCTTGAATAAGATACAGCAAAAAATAATGATGAAACTTAAAGCCCTCCAAATCTTGGTTTTAAATCTTTTCAAGACATGTGACCTCACTTTTTTAAATCCTTCATTCATTTCTAAATCTCTAAACTACAATATCTTACAATATCAGTTTAATTAATTTGCTTAAAGAACACCAAACGGTCTACTCACTGTATGCTCCGTTTCTTTACAGACAATCCTTCTGAAGAGACGCTATAACAGTCAAAGATGATGCAGTACAAGGCAGCTCTTTGTAATAACGCTATGATAAAACATTCTTATTGCAATTAAATGGAAATGGTAGTTTGAGTTTTGTCAGTCTACTGTATACATAAACAATTATAGGCTTATTGGTTTAGTGCATTAAAACGCAGCACATTATGCGACTTGTTTTGGTATGCCAACATTATTAAGCAAGCATGATAACCAATTTACTTTACTATAATTTATGAATAGCTTGATGATATGAATCCATGTAAATGAAAAAAAAAAACTAAAAACATTTGTATTACTTGTTCTTTTAAGAACCTCTGAAACTAAACCCCCCACCTTGTTTCTGATCTGAACAGAACATTCCTGAAAGCACTAAATTTGACATTGACTAAAATTGGTTTGTTACAAACTGAAGTTTGGAAAACTCACTGGTACACTTCTGCCTTTCGCAGCATGACGACACACTATCATTAGCACACGGAGCAGGGCGTAACATCACAGACGTGAAGTGCAGGTGGACTATTTCAGACCACCACATCAATCACTAAAACAAGCCACTGTATAGACGGACATGTCGGACGATCCGCTGATGGATGGCTGGACAGGAAGACAGGAAGGCGAACGATGGCAGGCAGGCCAGATGGGTCCTTTATGAACAAGATTTACTATGAAATATCTTGAATATATCATGGGAAAAGTCATGTGTCGTTGCTGGCTGAACAGAAGAGTGATAACCATCAGACAAACTGCATGATACCGGTACAACATACTGCCTTCAGGTACACAGAGACGCTCCATCCTGACTTGTAGTCAACTTATTATTAATGGACAAGCCAGATCAGGAGATGAGTACAGTGAATGCACCTACAGGTGAAGCACACAGTCTGCTCATCTATAAACCATGGAGAAGATGCCCATTATCTACTATATCCATTTTACTATCTATACTGCAGTGCTCTTTTGCACTGCAGTTTTATCTTGTGATGGTGTATGCAAAGCAACAAACATAATATTCATAATTCATAATTAATAACCCTTACTCATCAATTTCCCCTCTTGTGAGCAGCAGCAGCAGGCACAGTTTGACTCTGCTTCAATCGTTTATCATGATTGATTTGGTGCACAGGTCCACTCTCAATCCTTTTTAAATAGAGGAATTTAAGGTTTTTCACGGACAACAGGCACACACGGTCTCCATCACAGCTGTGTTCGATGGATGCAGTGGGAATTGTTGTATACAGAAGATTTATATCCAGGTGTTTTTTTTTTTTTTAACCTTATGATTCAGGTCTGATCATCTTGGTTGATCAGGATCAAACTTTGAGGTTTTAGTTCAGATTTTGGGTAGAAACCCTGTCAAAGTCCAGCTGTAAGTTGCAGCAGCACCCTGCTGGGCTCAGATCAGATCAGTTTGTTTCATCTCAGTGTCAAACCTTTTCTTTTAAACATGCTCCAAGACTTTTATTCACTTTAAAACACACTGCCAGTAACAACACAAGACCACATACTGAAATATAAATAGTTTATATTTGAGAAAATATCATGATAAATATTTCACATGCCTATAATTCCCATATGTAATGTCATTAGTGTATACTGTCAGATACCACTACATTTGATGGTAACCGTCATACTGTTACATGACATTTAACTGATTCTTTAAAATACTTTAAAAGGCAACAAGTACTTCTTGGTTGTACTTTTGGTTTATCAGATCTTGTAATACATTACCTGAAGAAGCCTCATATTAAAACTTTAACTAAAATTCACATAAATCCTTTCATGGACTGCTTTGTGTAAGAACTTATCATTTGTCATTTTTTTCATGTTACATAAAATATATATCTTGCATCCGGTGAGGTCTCTCCCTCCTCAGAAATGACAAACCTATTTCTTATCAGTGTTGCAGTGGTAAGGCAACATGTACGTTTATCATAGTGGGAGTTTGGTGGAGGGATTATCACAACCAGGCAGTGTGTGTGCTAGTCTGTCCTATTGCCCTTGAGAAGGAAAGGCCACAGGGAGCCCACATGTTACACTAAATCCTTTGAGGGAGCCTTTCTGAGCTGACTGAGAGAGACAATATAAAGATACACATCTGGTGATAAAAGCATATTGAATACAGAAATAATGCAATTCCAATGCAACTGTGGTATGCTGGGTATATGAGATAACACACACATACATATTTCAATATGGCAGCTTACAGATGTAATGTAAGATAGTTGAAATTGAAGAATGGACATATACCCACATGGAGGGAATTACACAATGGAAGGTCACAGAACAAAAAAAAAAGCTGAAAGCTTGCAGTATTACCCGGTCATCAGAAAAGTTGATCAGCAACCTGGACAGTTCTGTAAATGTCATTTTGACTAATCCCAAAAATAGTAACAGCACAAGCAGAAGTATTGCTATGTACACGTACACATACATTCATACACAAACACAGAAGGAAATGCTTCTCTTTTTAGCTTTTGTTCGATTCTCCTCTGGCCTGTGGTCTTATAATGCCTTACAATGATTGATAATAAAACTTTCTACAAGATGATCAACCTTAAAGCAATAGTTGGACATTTTGAGAAATAGGCTTATATTCTATTTTTTTTATCCACGTCCTTAATGAAAGTTAGACAAGAAGTCTGATATTACTCTATGTAGCAAAAGCCAGCACTCAATTATCTTAACTTAGCATAATGACAGGAAACAGCTAGCCTGGCTCTGTCTAACACTTACAAGTCTTACAGCATACCAGCACCTCCCAACATGACCATTATCTGGGCCGGAACCAGTAACTTCCTGGAGGTGTTATGAGCAGTGCCAAGCTAGCTGTTTTCCCATTTCCAGACCGTATGCTAAGCTAAGCTACCGGGCTGATGGCTGTAGCTTCATATTCAGAGTACAGACATGAGAGTGATACTCTCATGTCTACTTTGTGCAAAAAAGCCAAAAAGTGCAACTCCCAAAATGCCAAACTATTGCTTGATTACAATGACAGATAATTAAAAAAAAAATGCACGTAATATCATAGCTGAGGTGACATATGACACTGAGTCACTTTTATATTTAAAATGATCTTATGCATTGTCAGATTATGAAAAAGTAATTCAGAATTTCTTATCAAAATTCTCCATCTAGTATATATTTCCTACATGCTGACCCTGAGCTGAGGATAGTACTGAAATGTACATTCTGCTACCTTTACTAATGTTATCTTATGGCTGAGGGAGGCGTACTGGCAGGTAGGAGGAGGTTGTCTGTACGATGCAAACCATGACCATTGCAGTGTGAAATTTAAACAGTTTACTGGGAAGAAACTACAAACAGACGGGTTTAGATTAACAGACGGACACAAACTGGCTGCTGAATTCAGAATGTGAGCAAAAGACTTAATAAGCAGGTATAGCAGCTCTACTACTTCATTAAATCATGCCATGGGGGAACTAAAAAGAAACCTGCGCTGACTACTGATCAGATGCTGGCACTGAATTTTGTCATCGTGCATCGATAGAAGACTATACATGCGATGAAAGGGAACCTAAATAATCTCATCAAAAATAATTTGGGGGCAAGGCAAGGTCAGAAAAAGGGGAATGGTATGTTTTCTTTTGGCTGAGGGGAGGGTAGAGAGTGATATTTTACTTTTTCACCCGGGATTCATATTTTATTTTAGCCCTCCCTTGATATAGTTAATCATTACATAAACAGCTAGATCTGTTATGCAAGTCAGTCACTGTGTGGGTCATACAATGGGTAATAAGAGATATAACTGATCTTATACATAAGTCTGATCTAATATATACAGTATATATATATATATATATATATATATTTTTTATTTTTTTTTTTTGGAATATGGGGTGGGTTAAAGATATTACAGCTCAAGTCCCTCAGAGCTGCCTCCAGGGCCCAAGTCACCCAATGGGAGAGGTAACAAGTTATTTACTACTAGCCTTTTAAAAAAAATAGAGAGGGACTCAATAAATTTGTCAATTTCCAGTCGCACTTCTAATGTGTGCATTGGTGGCTACAGTATAATATCATAAATATTTAAAGTATTAAAGTGAGTAGGATTTAGTGGCCTCTAGCAGTGAGGTCGCAGATCGCAAGTAACTGGACATCAGGTCACTCACCCTTCCCTTTCCAAGCGTGTCGGCGAACTACGGTGGCCTTCAGGTAATGTAAACATGTGAAAGTCCCTCTCTAGAGCCAGGGCTTGGTTTGTCCGTTCTGGGCTACTCTAGAAACACGGCGGTGCAACATGGCGTACTCCGTGATGGGACCCGCTCCCTTTGTAGATATGACGGGCTCATTCTATAAGCTAACACACAGTTGATTCTTAGTGCCAGGGGATTATACACTTTAGAAAACATAGTTGTGAATATTATATTCCATTTCTGCTAAAAGATCCCCCTAGATTCTACACAGTGCTCCTTTAATTTAGGGTAAACAATTAAACAAGTTGTACCGGTTTACTATTGTTCAAATATTTTGAAATATTGGGGGGAGGGTGCTTTTTCTTTTTTTCATTCAAAGGGAGGGTCAAAAGGAAATATTAATAATGAAGGGGAGGGTCTTCCTTTAAAAAAATGTAATATAAGATTTTACCCCACACCAATCTCCAAACCAATTTCTTTAAGCATGAAATTAAGTCTCGCTTGGTTACATTTCATTTCCAAGTATTGCTCGCTTTAGAGTCAGAGAACTGCAGTGGGTATTAAATGTCTTCAATAAGCGATCAAGGTAAAACACACTGTTATATTCCTGCTGATTATGTTAATTAATGTAATGTTAATTATCCAGAATGCTTACGGGTAATTATTTCACTGTCTCAAAGAACAAGAGCGCTTTTTGGAAGAGCAAAAAAGACATGACAGAATGAGTAGATAGAGAGGTAACAATGACAAGTAATGGGACGAAGACTATGTGATATAAACGACAATGCCACAAATATTCAGTAATACTGGTACATTACATTACATATTTTGATCTGAAGTCTGACATGTTCTTTGGTGTCTACAAAATATTTTGTGACTGAGGTGCAGTGCAAAGCATTGCAGCATGGCCACATGTTTTCACTATTTTCCTTATACTGTTTTCATATCCTGTGAAAGACCTGCATGGCTTCTCAATTAAACCACTAAGCAGAGTCATAACACACAGATTGATGTCCTGTGTATTTACAATTACTTGGTGTACGTGCTGTGGCCTTGGCTTGGTGCAAAAATCTATTTTGGCTGCACAAACACACCAGCAAGTATGCCGCACCCAAACACATACACACTATGTATCATGAGAACAGTTCAGTGAAGTGTGTAGTGTGAACTGGGAGCCTCATCAGTCAAGCAGGAGATTCCAGTGCAGGGCTACCGGTGCAGGACTGGTTGCTGCAGCTGCCAGTACAACAGCACCGATCTGCTGTCAGTGAGCTGCCAATGTGAGTAATGTTACAGTTTCCATGTGCAGTACCCTTCAGGATCCAAGTAATGTAACAGAGAACAAATAAATAAATAGTATAAAATGCTAAAAATGCTCCAAAGTGCTGCCTTGTCTTAAAAAGTTAAAGGCAAAGGTGTGGTTATTAGTGCTTGACTGAAAATGCTAACTAGTTTGATCAAGGCTAAAACGGTTTGCTTCATTGCACTTGAAGGTAAATCATTTGGGTCTGATGATCCCATATATGTACACTGTATATATCAACGTTGGTTTTGCCTGTGTTCTTGAAGCTAAATGTCTCCTATGATAAATGAATCAACTTAGACTCATTGAAATTTACACACAGGCCCTGGGTTCCTACGTTGCCCAAAGCTACAGCCATGTTCAACCTAGTTTGACCCGTGTGTCTTGGCTGTATAAAAGGACCTGCAGCAGGATGACCACGTCAATTATGATCTGAACTGACCCGCAAACCCAAAACTGAGACGGGCTTTCGTTCATCACGAAGTAGGTGGTCTTGAAGACGTCCCCGGCCGTCCACAGCAGCACCATCTTCACACTGGAGCAATGGGGACACAGAGAGGTGAAGGTGTGAGGACAGGGAGAATTAAGCAGTTTTCTCTCAAAGGATTCATTTGACATTTGGGAAAGATGCTTAGCATAAAGACTGGAAACAGCCGACCTGGCTTTGTCCAAAGGTAACAAACTGCACAACTGCACAACCCCCCCCCCCCCCC